AATATATAATAATAATAATTGTTGTTATTATTATTTTAGCTGTTAAACTTAGGTTTTCATTTTTCAATTCGAACTATTACGTCGAGTCACGCATCACTTTAAATTATTTTTTTCTGATAATAATTTTAAAGTTTAAATTATTTACGTCTTAGTTTATTATTATTTATGTGGTACGGTTTTTAATGAGATCGTGTTATAGTTGACTTTTATATACATTAAAAAATGCACTTTTTAACAAAACTGGGAAGAACTATAATAAAAAAGAAATAGTAATCGTGTGATAGTAGTGTTAGGATAAAGAAATAATTTGTGGGCTTCACTCAATCAACATTACATTACTAAAGAGTACTTATTTTCTTTTCCTATTGGAACAACAAAATATATTAAAAATATAGTTTTGCTATTGATTGCATCCTATTTTTCTATTCTGCCTTTAATTAAGTAGTTGCTGTTTATAAAAATTCTACCTTGTAACAGTATAAGTAATATAATAATTTGAAAATTTTTAATTCTTAAAAAAAAATTGTTTATTTTGCTGAAAAATATTCACAATAATTAATAATTAATTGAGCATTGGGTCATATGTATAAAGGTATGTGTTAGTATAGTCTTACGTTTTTAATTTGAAATACATAAAATGTGGCTAGAATCTCAAACGTACGAGTGTCTACTTTCTTTACGTATCGCATCAGATTTTTTTATAAATAAATGAGTCGCACTACTGAATTCCTACTTTCAAAAATACAAGTCTCTTTAGTAACAGATTTAACTTCGCAAAAGGTAGGTGTTATATGCGCGAGTCTACTATCAAAAAGACTCCTATTTATGAATGTAGGCGCTTTAGAAGTACGATAAGATACTTTCATTTATGTATACAAAAATCTGAGTCAGTACAGTAAAAGCTCTTTATTCGCGGGGTATACGTTCCATAAACATGCCGCGAATACAGAAACCGTGGATATGGAATGGTAATTAGTATGGAATCATAGGGGATACGTTATAAGGTTCCAAAATAAAACCAATATGTATCAGAATAAAATCAATTTATTGAGAAATTAAAATTAATCGTTGTAATCACCTTTAAAAAAGGGTTTAAAAAAATTAGTGATTTTTTCTTGTTTTGAATTTTGAATTAATCCACTCGGATACATCTTTTATAAAAGTCGCCTCGGCACGAACCAGCAGTACTTAAAAAATGCCGATACGTTGAAAAATAACACCGAATCCTTTTCTGTGTACTCTGTTATATCTTTTAGAAAAGCTGCCTTAGCACACCAACAGTACATACTCAAAAGATGCCGATACATTAAGGGGATTCAATAGTACATGCGCCGTACAGTAAAAAGATGCTTATCGGTTCTAGATATCATGAGTTTAATGTTTGGAACAGAGGTTTGAAATTTTGTAGTAACATAGATAAAGCTTTGTTCTAAAGCTTGTCGAAGGTCATTTTTAAATTTTTTAATTTCTATTGAAAATACGTGTCCTACAAGAAGGATCAACTTTAAGCACTTATAAAAGCCATTACTGACCATATTATTGAAAACTAAAAACGTATCGAGTTAGTGTAAACCTTTGTCTGTTACCATACAAAAATCAGATTTATCTCGCAGCATTAAATCACAATGTTTAAAATAGAAGAAGTTTTGGGAAAAATTCACACTAGGTACTAGCGGTCTATTGCGTTCAATCCCCTTAATAAATGACACCGAATCCTTTTCTGTTTACCGATTGCATTTGCGAATAATGAAATTTTTTAACCACGAATACAAGAACTGGGTTGCAATTTTTTCACCCCCGAAAAATGAAAATGCGAATAAGGAACCTTTACTGTACTCGAGGAACTAGTAGTTCAGATGCAGCTCTACTCATATTTTTATGCATTTCAAATAGAGCGGCTACTTTAAAAATATAAGAGTATACTAAGCAGTTACGTGTGTACTACCTATTATTTTTCATTCTGGTTTCCTACTTTTTCCAATAGCTGTGATTTTTAAGCATCATTGTCAGTATTAAATAATTTAATACGATACTTTAATAATAACTAGAACAAGTCAGCGTCCATTTTGAATTGTGGCAATAATTATTATTAATTACTTTATTAGTTCTTACAAACTGACTGTGTTATGTAATGTATACCCCCNCAACAAAATTAAAGTAAAATTACTTTTATCAAAAAGTAATTATTGTGTGTATTTAAAATTTTTGAAAACATGACACTTTTTAGTTAGTTTTACATGAAATATGAAACCACAATAAAACTTTTGAAAACGCCACTGTTACTGTGGTCATTACGAACATTAGGTCATGCTTGCAAAAATGTAGTGAAATAGACGTCTTATGCAATCGTTTTGTTGGGGTAATTAGCTGTAAGTCTATGTTTTCGAGATTTATTTATTACATGGGTACTGTTATCTGTTTAA